GGTGGGGGGGGGATGTTGTGGTCCTTGAAAAACGAGGACATCTGAGATGTACGGGAGTGGAGTGCCTCATCCTGGGAGCAGATGCGGCGGAGGCGAAGGAATTGGGAATAGGAGATGGCATTTTTGCAGGAAGGCGGGTGGGAGGAGGTGTATTCTAGGTAGCTGTGGGAGTTGGTGGGCTTGAAATGGATATCGGTTTTTAGGTGGTTGCCAGAGATGGAAACAGAGAGGTCCAGGAAGGAGAGAGAGGTATCAGAGATGGTCCAGGTGAACTTAAGGTTGGGGTGGAAGGTGTTGGTGAAGTGGATGAACTATTCGAGCTCCACGTGGGAGCACGAGGCGGCGCCGATACAATCATCAATGTAACGGAGGAAGAGGTGGGGTTTAGGGCCAGTGTAGGTACGGAAGAGGGATTGTTCCACTTAACCTACAAAGAGGCAGGCATAGCTTGGGCCCATGCAGGTACCTATGGCCGCCCCCTTTGTCTGTAGGAAGTGGGAGGAATTGAAAGAGAAGTTGTTGAGGGTGAGGACTTAGTCAGAATTTTCAATTTCTCTCTGGCCACAGGAAAGCTGACAATGTGGTATGGTTATTCAAGAAGTGAGAATGGTATCAACCAGGAAACTATAGGCCAGTCAGTCTAATTTCAGTGGAGGGAAATTATTGGATGCAATTCTGAGAGACAGAATTAATCTGCGCTTGGGCAGGGATTAATTAAGAACAGTCAACATGGTTTTGTTAAAGGGAAATCATTTCTGACAGCTTGACTGAATTTTTTGAGAGGTGACCAGGTGTGTAGTTAAGGGTAATGTATTTGATGTAATCTACTTGGACTTTATCAAGGTTTTGGTAAGTGCCACATAGAAGACTGACAGTGAAGATAAAACCTCATGGGATCCGAGGAAATTTGGCTAATTGGATCTAGCGTTAGCTAAGTAGCAGGAAGCAGAGGATGATGGTTGAGAGGTGTTTTTGTGACTGGAAGCCTGTGTCCAATGCGTTTCTGTAGCGATCACTGTTGGGGCCCTTGCTGTTTGTGAAGTGTTTATATAACTGATTTAGACTTGAATGTAGAAGTTAGCAAATGTTCCAAAAATTAGTGAAATGGTAAATACTGAGGAGGATAGCCTCAGATTACAGCAGGATATAGATTCGCTGGTCAGATGGGCTGAGCAGTAGCAAATGGAATTCAGTCTGGATAAATGTTAGATGTTGCACTTGGCCATGACAAACAAGGTAAGCAAATATATGAATACTGGTAGGACACTGGATCAGAAGCACCTTTTGAGTGCATATCCACTGGTCATTTAAGGTCACAGGACAGGTAGATAAAGTGATTAATAGGCATTTTGGGTACTTAAACTTTATACATTGACTAATAAAATGTAAAAACAAGGCGGTGATGCTGGAACTATATAAAATTAGTTAGGCCACAGCTGGAGTATTTTGTGCAATTCTGCAATCCACAATTAGAGGGGGGATGGGATTGCACAGGAGAGGGTGCAGAGGAGATTTGCCAGAATATTGGCTGGGCTGGACTGGACTGTTTCAGTTGTGAAGAGAGATTGGATAGACTAGAGTTTTTTTCACTGGAGCAGAGGAGATTGAGAGGGAAAATGATAGAGATGTATAAAATTATGAGGGATGTAGATACAGTAGAGAGGAAGGAACTTCTCCCCTTGCTGGAGGGATCAGTGACCAGGAGGCATAGATTTAAGGTGAGGGATAGGATATTTAGAGGAGATGAGGAAATTATTTTCATCCGGATGGTGTGGGAATCTGGAACTCACTGCCTAAAAGGATCGTAAAGACAGAAACCCTCAAAACATTTGAGAAGTATTTTCATGTATACTTGCAATGTCAAAGTATGCAAGGCTGTGAGCCACGTGCTAGAACATGAGATTAGAATAGTTAGATGCTTGTTTTTGACCTCCACAGACTTGACAAAGGCCTTTTTCTGTGCTGTAGACCTCTATGATTCTGACTCTAAACTATCACACCCAAGGACTTGTCATTTTCTCAGCAGTAAAAACTAAACTTTGAGCCTGAAAAAACCCACTTTATTTTCATTCATCAGTTACTGTAAACTGTAATGATTGTCAGATACTTCCTAAATGTGAACTAGTCACTCTGTGTCTAATGGAAGCAAGTGAAAGTGCTAAAAGTTTGTGTAGCTTCAGAACATGACAAATCCAAAGGATCATATCCGTGAGCCCTGTGGAGAGGATCTGTTTAATGCCCTTTACATTCATTCCTTCCATCTGTAACACACATTTTCTTTTTGTCTGTTTTTGTCAGTGTATAGGGTAATGTATTTATAACAGGGCAAGGATTTTAATGAATATGTTGATGATTCAAAATTGGTTATCTATATCCAGAATCTTTTTTTTTGTAATTAATAGTAATTCTTGTTTAGTGCAAAAACCAGGTCCATGCTTTCTGTCAACCTGGGCCTGAAAGACAAGTGAATTTGGGAGCTTTGCATACTTTTATAAAATCTTCAACTTGTGACAACACAGGGAATAGTGGGCTAGGCAGCATCAGAGGAGCAGGAAAGTTGACGTTTCGGGTCGGGACCCTTCTTCAGAAATGAGGGGATAGGTGGAAGGGAGCTCCGAAATAAATAGAGAGAGGAGGGGTGGGGCTGGGGAAGGTAGGTGCGATGATGATAGGTGAGTGCAGGTAGGGAGTGGTGGGGATTGGTCATTGAGGTGGGAGGGACGGATAGGTGGGAGAGGAACCTGGATGACTTTAATATTCACACCAATTTAAAGAATCAAATTGGGAAAGGTAACTGGAGGATGTGTTCATAATGCATTTAGGACAGTTTCTTAGGTTCCAGAATGTACTGTTCTATCAGAGAACAGGCTATTTTGGACTTGGTAGTATGTAATCAGACAAAATTTATCAAAGACCTCATAGTAAAGGATCCTGTAGGCAAGAATGTTCGTAACACTAAAATTTCACATTGGGGCTGTAACTAGTGACTTAAACAAAAAAAAACCCTTTTTAAGGGTATTAAAACAGTTGACTAAATTGGACTCGGGGAAAATAGTTTAAAACAGAACATGGTAAAGCAGCAGTCATAGAAAATTAAGCTGTTTCATAACAAAATTATAGCTTCTTTCAGGAAGAAGGGTGCAAAAGGGTGTACTCTCCATTGTTAATGAAAGAAGTTGAGGGTGGCATTAAAAGTGCACAATGCTGTAGAGATTATTGGTAAGTTAGAAGTTAGGTAAAGTTTTAGAAATCAGCAAAGGATGGCTTAAAACCATCAAAAGAGGAGAAATTTAAGTATAAGAGAATACTGGCTAGAAATAACACAAAGTTAACGCCTGTACATCTGAGTGATTTGAAGATATGTCAAAAAATTCGGTACTTTGTAGATCAAAAGCTAGGCTACATGATTGTGTTGAGGTATTTTAAGAACATAAGAACTAGAAACGGAAGTAATCAATTCAGCTCTTCGAGCCTGCTCCACCATTTGAAACAATCATTGCTGATTTCATCTTTTCAAATCCACTTTCCAGTCTGCTCTCCACAATTTTTAATTTTGTTTTAATTTTTATTTGACAAGACTTAAAGTGGAAAAGATAAAGCATGCCATTTAGTAGGAAATTCCCATTGCATAACCATAACTGATGCATAGTGAACTGTTGGAATCCAAAAGGATTGACATTGGAAAGATTTACCACTGGGACATTTACAAATTCTGATTTAAATTTTTGCCAACGTCAAAAATCTGGCTGGAATTCAGAGTACAGCTTCTGCGATTGGAGATGGTACCAGGTTGGAGTATTATTCAATGCTGCCATGCAGTACCTGAGGCAATGATGCTTCAGAATTTTCATGATGCACTGCAGAAAATCACCAAGGCTCCTTCAGCAATACCTTTGACCGGCAAATTCCCCTCCAACCACTTATTATCATGACTTGGATTTATTGTGCTTCACTGACAGCGTCAAAATCCTGGAACTTCCTTCCTAACAGCATTGTGGGTGTGTCTACACCAAATTGAATGCAGATGTTCAAGAAGGCAGCTTGCTGCCATCTTCTCAAGAGCATCTAGGGATGGCTAATACATGCTGGCCTAACGAACAATGCCCATAATCCCACGAATGAAGTGGGGAAAATAAACGATTTTGGTTACTTTGTCACCTTACAAACTTTTGGGTTGTAGAGAATGAGATGGAGTGGTTGGTATTGGTATTGGTGGTGGGTATATCAAATCTGAATTGTAAAGGTCAATATTAATTGAAGTGTATGTTTATGTGAGGCATTGTCTTTCTTTTATATTTTGCCACTTTGGTTATTTATTTTCCCAAAATTGATTGCCTTGTAATTGATAAATAAAAACCAAAAGAACTGTGGATGCTGTAAATCAGAAACAAAAACAGAAGTTGCTGGAAAAGCTCAGCAAATCTGGCAGCATCTGTGAAGAGACCGGACCCGAATCATTAGCTCTGATTTCTCTTCACAGATGCTGCCAAACTTGCTGAACTTTTCCAGCAACGTCTGTTTTTGTGCCTTGCAATTGACGCTATTTGTTTTTATATAGTAGATGAACAAACCGCAGATTTGCAAGAAGAAATGCGGACAGTGCTGTCCGAGATCATTGGCTTGATGGAGGAACTTAAAACTGAATGCGAAAAGGCAGATGAGGCTTTAAAAGCAGAAAGAGAGCGGGTAACAATGCTCGGAGATAAGATTGATCAACTTTCACTCTGGTGGCTACATGAATTTCCTGAAGCTGTACAAAAAGGTATGAACAGCATTTTTATTTTTCTTTAATAAGAAAATGAAAAACCTCTTGAACAAAAACAGAAGTTGCTGGAAAAGCTTAGCAGGTCTGGCAGCATTTGTGACATAAAAATCAGAGTTAACACTTCGGTTCCTCAGAACTAAAAAAATCTCATCTGTTTTGCTTGGGAGATTGGTTAGCAAAGTTGGCTGGTTTGTAATGCAGAGTGTGGGTTCTATTCCCGTACCAGCTGAGGTTACCATGAAGGACACTCCTTCTCAACCTCCCCCCTTGCTTAATGGGTAGTGACCATCAGGTTAAACCAGCACCAATCTTCTCTCTGTAAAGAGAGAGCAGCCATATGGTCCACTGGAACTAAGGCAACAACTTATTACTTAATTGATTCAAAACTCATTAACTCTGTTCAGAAACTGAAAATATTCCAACATGTGCCTACACAATTAGTTGTCAAAATTTAGTTTAAAGTAAGTTAGGATTCAAAGTAAAAGTTTAATAAATTGCATCTTTTTTTAGGAAAAGAACTTGGGTTTACAAGAATAAATCAAAGAACTGTAGCTGCTGAAAATCTGGAGAAACTCAGCATATCTGGCAGCATCTGGGAGAGAAAGCAGAGTTAAAGTTTTGAGTCCAGTACTATTTTCAGAACATGCTTTCTCTCTCTACAGATGCTGCTGGATGTGCTGGGTTTCTCCAACAATTTCTGTTTATGTTTCATTTCCTAGAACCTGGTCACGTTCTCAGGACGTTCCATTTTAATGAACAAAGAAAACATACACTTCTGTGGGACTTTTCCTGGTCTCCGAACAACCCAAAGCAATTTGCAACTAATGACTTACATTCATTATTATTTTGAATGAGATCCAGACAGCTAATTCACAGGTAACAAAGCCTTTAGTGAGACGAACAGCTAGGATTTCCTACAAGTTATAGATAAATATTGGCTAGGACATCAGATTTTCAGCAGCTACAGTTCTTTGTTTTATTCTTGTAAACCCAAGTTCTTTTCCTAAAAAGATGCAATTCATTAAACTTTTACTTTGAATCCTAACTTGTTTTAAACTAAATTTTATGTTCTCTGAAAGATTGCTATTATAATGGCTAGAGAGAATAAAGAGTGATCCCTAAGAAAACTGCAATCTGTTTTATATTTCTTGATTTAAACACTGTTTCTTTTAAATATCTGCAAACTTGCTGGATTCATAAAATGGCTGAGGATGGCGGAAGCTGACACAAAGGACTTGGAAATGAACAATCTGCTTCCAGTCAACTCTGGACAAATGAAAACATAAGGACCCTATGCTAAAATGAGTGTTAATATTGTTTACAGTTGGCAATCACCTTGCATTAAAATTCTAATGGAAGAGATAAAGCTACACTGTTAGCTTAATAGCCTTCCAATTAGCCCACCAAAGTAGGCCACCAGCCACTGAAATGCCTCTTTCCATTACATCGTAATTTGGAAATAGTTGAATTACTTAAGTTTACAGTTTTGGGATTCTAAAACTGTTGGCAATTTAACCTCCAGTATGTTGAACCTGCTTGGACTCTCCTTCTCTGTCTGCAAGTTGCTGACTAGAAAGAAGCCTTCATTTTTCCTGCAAGAAGGAAAAGCAGTGGGTACAGCACACTGTGGAAGCTATTATTGGACACTGATCTCCATTGTATTGTATTTCACGTGATTATAATTCACGTGAGCTGATAGTTCTAATGTCTTTGGATTTAGCAAAACTTCTAATTTTACAACCAATTTCCTCTCCTGTCTTTAATTTCTTTAATGCTTGTGTTATGGACTAGACCAGACTCCCACAATATATTTCAAGAAGGTATCCCAAACTCTAATTTTTTCTTATTTAAAAGGTAAATGTCAAGTGCTGTGTTCCAGATGCAACTGGTCAAACTACTCGACATTGAGCAAAACACAATTCATTTAAACGCCATAGTTAAAATACAAACAAAAGAAAGAAGAATTTTGAATAACAACTATTGGAACACTTAACTGAATAATAGACACAGTACCTATTACTGATTAACTGTTCCAATATAGTAACGTTGCATAAGCACACCAGCAAAAAGGCAAGTTCAGACACAGATTCTCACATACAGTTCTCCAATCCAGGAGGAAAAAACATCAAAAGAAAATGCAGAGAAAGTAACAGCTGGAAGACATTCACGGAATGTTCCAACTCTTTTCAGACCCCAAAGGCTTTGGCTGTTACTGGAAAAGAAACCTAGAAATTAAAAAAAATTAGAAAACCTGGTCTGTGAGAGCTGGCCCCACCCAGGCTGCTTCCATTGTTCCAACTGAAAAAAAACCCAAGGCCTCACATTGTTTACTTTCTTAAAGACAGCTTGTAACCTCTGCCTTACAAATTCTATGCAAAATAAAAGGACAAAACAACCTCTTAAACTGACAGCATCGGCATAGTAGTATGCATGTATGGAAAAACGATGCAATTTACCTGTGGTCTGTATGGAACACAGAAACAAAAAAATAGGAGCAAGCAGTAGGCCATTCACCCCTTTGAGCCTGCACCACTGTTCTTTATGATCATGGCTGATCATCCAACTCAATTGCCAGTTCCTGCTTTTCCCCCATATTGTTTGAACCCTTTAGTTGCAAGAACTATATCCAACTTCTTGAAATCATACAATGCTTTGGCCTTGAGTTGTTTCTGTGGTAGAGGATTCTACAGACTCACCGCTGTCTGAGTGAAAATAAATTCTCCTGATTTCAGTGCTAAATGGTTCGCACCCATACTCTTAGACTGTGACCCTGGTTCTGGACTCCCCCGTTATTGGGAACGTCATTCCTGCATTTGTCCTGTTTTAGATCTGTTAGAATTTTATAGATTTCTCAGAGACCTCTTCATTTTTCTGAACTTGAGTGAAAATGTTGCTGACTGATTCACCCTCTCCTCATTGATTTCAGGGTGGCAGGACTGACTATTCTGGTAAACCTTCACTGCACTTTCTCCAAAACAAGAACACCCCTCCTCAGATAAAGAGACTAAAACTGCACACATTATTCCAGGTGTTATCTCACCATTGTATAATTTCAGTAAGATAACCCTGCTCCTGTATTCAAACCCTCCTGCTATGATGGACAACATACTTGGCTGTCCGCTGCACCTGCATGCTTACCTTCAGTGACTGTTGAACTAGGACACCCAAGTCTCATTGTACATTTCCCTCTCTCAATTTATAGCCACTTACGCTATGATCCACCTTCCTGTTTTTGCTCCCTAAATGGATAACTTTATCCACATTATTTTGCATCTTACGTGTATTTGCCTACCCATTCAGTATATCCAAATCAGACTGAAGCATTTCTGCATCCGTCTCCCACCCATCTTCCACCCAGCTTTGTGCTATCTACCCATTATGTGATATTACATTTAGTTCCCTCATCTAAATCATTAATATATGTTATGAATAACTGTTATCAATGTGGTACCTCACTAGTCACTGCCTGCCATTCAACAACTGGCTGCCAACCAGTTTTTTTTTCATCCATTTCAATACACTATCTCCAATCCCACATACTTTACTTTTGCACCCTAATCTCTTACATGGAACTTTGTCTAAAGCCTTCTGAAAGTTCAAAGAAATGACATTCACCTTCTCTGCCTTATCAACTTTGAGTTACATCCTCAATGAATTCAGATTTGTCAAGCATGATCTACCTTTCATAAATTCATGCTGTCTCTGTCCAATCCTGCCACAGCAGTCACAACTTAAATTCGCTCCCTTTGCAGCAGTAAGATTTTTACATTCATCTGACCCCATGTCCATTATGCTGTTACCCTGACCACTAAGTACTTGATTTCAAGCACACCCAAGAATTATTCAGAAGGACCTCTAATTGAGGTAAAAGGAGCTAAACAGAGGGACATCAAAAAAGTTAGTCAAAATGTAATAATGAGGTCCCTCTGAATAATTCCCCCATTACTTCAATTAGAGTACGGTAGCTTTTAATTGTATAGTATCCTGGCAGTGCAGAAAGAGATCATTCGGCCCATCAAGTCTGCACTGACCCTCCAGACAGCAATTCTTCTCTCCTTCCCCAAGAAACTAAATGGTACCCATTCCCGACATGAATGGCACAGTGGTTACTTGCATAGCTCATTGCTTACTTTTCCAGACCTTCATCCAGCTCCACTGTCATCAGATTTCCCTGCATGCGCTATGGACACTGTCCTCTGCCATCCTTTCTTCACCCAAATGTGCATTGTCAAACTGCCGGTCTCACCACACAGCAGCTTTCAAAATAACTCAGAAATGACTTTAGCGCTACAGGACATCACTTGTGAGCTCATGGACACTTATACATTGCATGCTCTGCCAGGTCACTTTGAATGCATGGAAGTGTACACATGTCGTACATGTATGGCCCTTAACTTGCTTTCTTAGTGCTTATTCACTGCACTGACTTCAAGGCTGCCAGCCCCTTTGGCTTGTGTTATTTTTCAGTGCATAGGCTCTCCAGCTATAACTTACAGGCTGCCAGCGTCTTTGCTTTCATTGGTTAATGCAGAGGAAGAGGCAACAACTTTTCATTATTCAGCGTAATGAGCAGTCAAGGGCATAACATGTTACTGTATGGCAGCAGGCAAATTTGATGTTCTACCTATCGCGTCTGCCAGTAGCTTATGCAGCAAATGCACCGCCATTTCTTTGATGCATATGTAATATCTGAAAGTCAAAGCAACCAGTCCTTGGTATAGTGAAGAAGGACTATGGTTAGTAAGAAAGTATGGCCGCACTTAATCAAGGGACTCATTTGATCTTAGTCCAGGGGTTTTGCCACTGTCAGTCAGGGAGATGGTTCAACCAGAATCCAGGAAACTGTGTCCTTGAGGTTTGGCGATTGGGCTGGTACCGCAGGGTGCTGTGAAGACATCTGTCTGGAAGCTGCCTATTTAGCTGGGGTTGTCCTCCTGATCCAGTCTTATGTTTGGGCCATGGTCAGTTCTGATGTTTTGGTCTTAATGGTCAGCCTG